GGGGGTGTGGGTAGGTAGTGGGGGCAGGCAGCAGGATGGTGTGGGTAGGATGGTGTGGGTAGGATGGTGTGGGTAGGATGGTGTGGGTAGGATGGTGTGGGTAGGATGGTGTGGGTAGGATGGTGTGGGTAGGATGGTGTGGGTAGGATGGTGTGGGTAGGATGGTGTGGGTAGGACGGTGTGGGTAGGATGGTGTGGGTAGGATGGTGTGGGTAGGATGGTGTGGGTAGGATGGTGTGGGTAGGATGATGTGGGTAGGATGGTGTGGGTAGGATGGTGTGGGTAGGATGGTGTGGGTAGGATGGTGTGGGTAGGATGGTGTGGGTAGGACGGTGTGGGTAGGATGGTGTGGGTAGGATGGTGTGGGTAGGATGGTGTGGGTAGGATGGTGTGGGTAGGATGATGTGGGTAGGATGGTGTGGTAGGATGGTGTGGGTGGGATGGTGTGGGTAGACAGAGACAGACATACAGACACACAGACAGACATACAGACACACAGGACACCACGCCATCTTGAGACAGGACACTCGGACAATACACGGTCAAGGCCGTTCTATACAAGCACGTGATTGGCTGGATTTGATTAGACATTAATTGACCCTGTCGGCAGACGACAATAGAGCCACTCTCTACGGGATTCTATCTCTCTCTCTCGGCCATCCGCGGCCATTTTGTTGGCCAGAGATGACCTAAACCGCAGGCCGTTGTCCGAACCTCGATGGAATCTCCAAGGTCTTGGCCTTGACCTTGCCGCTGTCATGACGTCATACGAAGATTTAACTTGTCTAAAACGTGTTTGTTTCGTGTATAGAGTGCTTCAAGTTTTTAACAATGCAGCTGCCAATAAAGATCACGTGACGGACAGAGGTCAGCTGGTGCACGTCCCTCGTGGCCTCGACGTGCGTGGGTGTAATTGGTGATTATAATTAATGAACAAAATCTGATGGATGACTGAATTCATGAAATTGGGGAGGGTTGGGGATGGGTCGATAAGTCACATGGTACGATGTACATCACGCAACGAACGTTTCAAGCAACGAACGTCTCACTGTTCGAACATTTTATCCAATGAATTCTTTTTTCGGCTCTCTTCGCGTTTCATTCAAAGAACTGACAGTTAAAAAAAACCACAACGAAAGAAAAAAAACACCACAACGACTGAATACAAATTAATTGAATACGAATATGTGCTTGTCGCTTCACTATAGACGTCTTAGGAAGAAATTATTACACCGGAAGTGCCCCCCCCCCCCCCCCCGCCCACTGATGTGCCGGTCCCATCAATATTTTATTTCTCCAACAGTAACCCGACCCACAAATATTCATTCCATAAATATTTCTAAACTGCTACCCTTAATATTATTTCTATAAATATTTCTAATCTGCTACCCTTAATATTATTTCTATAAATACGCTCAACACGGGACTAGGGACAAAATGTGTTCGTGAAGCGGCTATTCGCCTGGCTATTCGCCCGGCTATTGTACAACCACCAGACGTAGCGCAATAAAAGATGGCTCTACACAAAAATCAAACACCCCGACCGTTTCTATAGGAATAAAAATAATTTATCGGGATCGTGATTGGAGATGACATTGATGAAAATCAACATTCGCATTTATTGGAGATTTCTTACATAATTGTGTGATTGTTCTATAAGTGGAGCTCATTGGGTCGGGTCGGGTCTTAGCTGTCAGCTTTATGTTGGCTGAGAGCCAGCTAATGACGTCAAATAAACGCCAGCTAAATGACGTCAAATAAACGCCAGCTAAATGACGTCAAATAAACGCCAGCTAAATGACGTCAAATAAACGCCAGCTAAATGACGTCAAATAAACGCCAGCTAAATAACGTCAAATAAACGCCAGCTAAATGACGTCAAATAAACGCCAGCTAAATAACGTCAAATAAACGCCAGCTAAATGACGTCAAATAAACGCCAGCTAAATGACGGCAAACAAACGCCCGCTAGATGACGTCAGCTAAGCCTACCATTGAATGACGTCAGATAACCAGAACAAAAATCAGTTTAAACTTAGCCTAACATGTAAAATGACGTCACTTAAGCTCAAGTAAAGTTGAGCTAAATATCGCTTAACGTTTACCAACGCTGCAGCTAAACGATGCCGCAATCTCAGCCCGTCAACTAAACTTAGCCAGAGTTTGGCTATGGCGTTGAAAAATTAAACTTAGCCAATGCAGTTTGACGTCAGCTAAGTGACGTCATTTTAAAAGACGTGAGGACACAAAACGTCTTTTAACAACGGTGTGCTTAGACAACCACAACAATCCCGTTACGTGACGCCAGTTCTTCGTTAATGACGTCAGTCTATGTAAAATAACGTCAGTCCTTGTTAAATTACGCCAGTCCAAGATAAGTGACGTCAACCATCGTTAAATGACTTTCTGTCAAATTACTACAACCCTGCTGAATGACGTCAGTCTTGTAAATGGCGCCCAAACCACGGACTTCCAAACAAGCCTATTTTCTTGGCGTTAAATGAAGTGAAAAGTGATCCAACTACACGCCATTCTATGTGTAAATTAGCCCAATCAAGGCGATTCTATTACTTGTTCTTTTTACTTCCCCGCCCATAAGCCTGACAAGGCAATTTTTTGCTTCTTCCATTTCTTCGAGTTTTACTTTTCTTTTAATTGCGGGTCTGGGCTAATTATCAGATTACCAAAAAATCTGACGTCATCAGGAAACCCAAAATATCGTCAGATTTTTAGGCGTATTGATTTCACGTGTTTTTATGCGCATGGATATTTTCAGAATGTGTAAATATGCTGTGGCATACGTTTGTCATATTTTCTAGCATGTTCGTCAAATTATTTCAAATTGATTTTGTAAGATCTTATTTAAATACTTGTAAAACTGTGTCATGTTTCTGAGCGTGCTAAAAGTATATAGTCATCGTATGCACTAAACATTTTATTTGTCGATATTTTTATAGTTCAATGTTTTTAAAACCACATTATTTTAAAATGCTACTTTAATAATTGAGCAAACTTGAAAACTAAACAGCGTTACAGCAGGAACATGCGTTTTGTGGCTAGTCTGGACTCGAACTCAGGACCTACCTTGTGGAGACGGAAATCCGACACGATGGTCTGCCACATGCGCCGTGCGATGAGTGGTTGCGTCAACAACATGACAATCGTCACACCGACCAAAGCGAATCTCAACTCTTGGGGAATTCCCATTTTTGACAGTCGCACCGTGCAGTGACGTCATGGGAGGGCGACACACGATTTACTCTCGATGACAAAACGGTATTCCATAGAAATACACTACGGTACACAGTGGGTTGAGTAGGTCAAATCTATTCCATCATACTGAAGGTTGTAGGTACACAATCTCCGTGTCAGAAAAAACAAACACTATTTCAAACACAATCCTAGAACAAAAATATCGGCACAACCTCGACATTTAGAATCGTATTTCAAGCAGAACATTGGTCGTCATTAATTAAAAACACGAAATAGACACTACTGAAAACTCCAAAAAATTCATATGTTCGAAAGCGCGCATGTTTGATGAAATAGCTTATACAGAACCGGAAAGCCACATTTATGATAAAATGAAGTTACATACATAAACACACACACACACACATGCACACACACACATGCACACACACACACATACATGAACATCTAGAAAGCAAACTAAATTTTTGTTTGAAAAAGAATTAAAATATGTGCGGTCCAAAATGACGAGGTAAAAAAAAAGCCACTTCCAAATAAATTTAAAATGTAGTTTGGTCAAATTAATTTAAAAATGTAGCTTGGTCAAATTAATTTAAAAATGTAGCTTGGTCAAATTAATTTAAAAATGTAGTTTGGTCAAATTAATTTAAAAATGTAGCTTGGTCAAATTAATTTCCCCGAAGGTTCTAGCAACAGAACGTGTGCGTAAAGTTGTTGTGGGGTTTCATGCAAGTCTGACTTCCAAGAACGGTCACTCACTCCACCATCAGACTGGTCAGTTATTCCCCTGACTGGATGAGACTGACACATGACTTAAGTCACGTGACGGGTTAAGACTGACATATGACTTAAGTCACGCGAGTTTAAAAAAAAAAACGACTCAAAGAATTAAAATTTTCCTCAAGGTAAATTGTGAGGTAAATTGTGAGGTAAATTGTGAGGTAATCTTTGTCTGCCTACTTCTAGCAAACGGTTTTTAATTTACTCGGCTAGTACGTTGAAACCATGAGAGGGGGGGGGGTGGGTCAATGTACAGTTTCTGGTACAGTCTAACCAATTACAGAGCCCCACATACAAAGTCTGAGAGTCGAGGAAGTTGGTCACAAATCTGGTCACAATTTTGGCCAGATTTCTGTCACAATAAAAGTTTATCTACTGCCAGACCCAAAGTGATTGACCTACATTGCTGGAATATTTTGTTCTGACTTAAACGAGGGCGACAGTTTTAAGAAAATTTCTATTTTTGATGAATGTATTTTACATCCTTGAAGATTAGGTGCTGAAATATTTGCATATTCCACACCCACTTGATAAGCCGTGTACTCCCCACCCCCTCCTTATTCCCGTATCCCAGCGGCCAGCTAGCGAGCCTCCCAAAGCTATCCCCACCCCCCGGGATCCAAGTTAGGGTCACGTGATGTGGTTGAAGGTTATCGGTATAGCGTGTTGGTCAAATTCCTGACATTTGTTAGCTGAGATATGATTGGTCCCTCTTGCCACGTGACGTATGGGATGTCAGCTGATCTAGTCATGTGACTAATCCCTGACATTAGTTAGCCTGACGTTCAAGCCCCCCCCCCCCCCCCCCCGCCCAACATAAGATCAGCTGATGAGATTTGAACCAGACAAACAGCTTTCAGTCTGAGCCACCTTAATCCCACGTTGGTGAATTGTTGCAGACGTCAGCATAGGAGTCAGCAGACATCAGCATAAGTGTCACCCACCAACCCACCAGAATCTGCAAAAGCCCCCCCCCCCACCCCAATTTTCCTGCACAGACTCCACTCTTACCCTGACTCCTGACTCCCTGACTCTTCAGACTCTGACTCAAATCTTATCAACCTCATACTAAGCCCACATTTCCCTACAATAGAACCAATAAACTGTGTTTTATGTGCGTATAACAAATTGATCAGCCCGATAGCGTAAACCCATCACACTTTTTAGCTGGTGAATATGGATGTACAGAACATCATCATGATCTACATTCTGCCTACAGAAAGTCCACATTACGCCTAAAAAAAGCCACATTAGGCCTACAGAAAGGCCCGCATTACGCCAACAGAAAGCCCACATTACGCCAACAGAAAAGCCCGCATTACGCCTGCACAAAAGCCCACATTACGCCTACAGAAAGCCCAAACCAAGCCTACAAAAGCCCAAACAAGACTACATTAACTCAAACTTTACACCGCCACCTTGTTGACGTTTTGGCGAAGCCCCCAACCGTCCTTGACCGTGTGTATATATCCCATGATCCTAGAGGGTGATATCCCATGATCCTAGGGGGTGATATCCCATGATCCTAGAGGGTTTTGTTCCTGTCTGTGAAAGGCTCATTTTTTGGCCATATTTAAATTGACCAGTGATGCGTGAGCAAATCAGAATTTATTCAAATTGTGGACACTGAATATAAGCTGACCCTAACACCAAACTTAAGCTGACCTTAACACCACAGACCCTAACGCCACTGACCCAAACACCACACATAAGCTGACCCTAACACCACACTTAAGCTGACCCTAACACCACACTTAAGCTGACCCTAACACCACACTTAAGCTGACCCTAACACCACACTTAAGCTGACCCTAACACCACACTTAAGCTGACCCTAACACCTCACTTAAGCTGACTCTAACACCACACTTAAGCTGACCCTAACACCACACTTAAGCTGACCCTAACACCACACTTAAGCTGACCCTAACACCACACATAAGCTGACCCTAACACCACACTTAACCTGACCCTAACACCACTGACCCAAACACCACTGACCCAAACACCACAGTTAACCTGACCCTAACACCACCCACCCACAGAGAGATCAAACAACACCCCCAACACCCACCAAAGGATCACGTTACACCACCCCCCACCCTGGGATCAAAGTCACGACACCCCCCTCCCCTCCTATTTTGTCAGTCTCCTAGATATGTTTGAACAGATAAAAATATTGAAGCAAATTGGCCACGGGAGGGTTTTGTCCCCTTAATTTCCCAAACTTGCCTCAGATGACTCTCCAAGTTACGTTTAAATTCCCTAAGGGAAGATAACCGTTGCGTTGAAGCCTAAAAGGGAAGTAATCTAATTCCATTACATGAATTGCTCCCCTTGTCCATTACTTTCCATCTCTGTAGGCTGGCCGTTTTCCCCTATGTGAGGGCCAAGCAAGGGCCACCCAGCGGATAAATAGTTAATATGTCTTGTGGTGGGCCACGCCAACCCGCGCCAGCCCGCGCCAACCCGCGCCAGCAGCAGGATTAAAGGATTGAATCGACAAAACAAAAAATCGTTCTATGACTGTCAAGTGTTGCAAGGGTAGAGAAAGTCTTTCCTCGGTTGTCTCCCTCTAACTGCCCTTGTGAAGGTTGTCTCCCTCTAACTTCTCCTTCCCCCCCCCCTGTGTAGGTTGTCTTTCTCCAACTTCTCCCCCCCCCCCCTCCCCGCCCCCTGTGTAGGTAGTATCCCATTGCTAGCCTCACAGTTGGGTCCACTTTAGACAATCTGTCCATATTTTAGAAAACATTCCCACTAAAACAATGTTGTCCAATATTCAGGTGTTTCTTCACATGGCCATCAACGGCCCAATAATGTGGTATGGCCCAATAATGTGTGGTATGGCCCAATAATGTGTGGTATGGCCCACTCTTCACATGGCCATCAACGGCCCAATAATGTGGTATGGCCCAATAATGTGCGGTATGGCCCAATAATGTGTGGTATGGCCCAATAATGTGCTGTATGGCCCAATAATGTGTGGTATGGCCAAATAATGTGCGGTATGGCCCAATAATGTGTGGTATGGCCCAATAATGTGCTGTATGGCCCAATAATGTGCGGTATGGCCCAATAATGTGTGGTATGGCCCAATAATGTGCTGTATGGCCCAATAATGTGCTGTATGGCCCAATAATGTGCGGTATGGCCCAATAATGTGCGGTATGGCCCAATACTGTGTGGTATGGCCTATAATGTGTGGTATGGCCCAATAATGTGTGGTATGGCCCAATAATGTGTGGTATGGCCCAATAATGTGTGGTATGGCCCACTCTTCACATGGCCATCAACGGCCCAATAATGTGCTGTATGGCCCAATAATGTGTGGTATGGCCCAATAATGTGTGGTATGGCCCACTCTTCACATGGCCATCAACGGCCCAATAATGTGCTGTATGGCCCAATAATGTGCGGTATGGCCCAATAATGTGTGGTATGGCCCCATAATGTGCTGTATGGCCCAATAATGTGTGGTATGGCCCAATAATGTGCGGTATGGCCCAATAATGTGTGGTATGGCCCAATAATGTGCTGTATGGCCCAATAATGTGCGGTATGGCCCAATAATGTGTGGTATGGCCCAATAATGTGCTGTATGGCCCAATAATGTGCTGTATGGCCCAATAATGTGCGGTATGGCCCAATAATGTGCGGTATGGCCCAATAATGTGTGGTATGGCCAATAATGTGTGGTATTGCCCAATAATGTGTGGTATGGCCCAATAATGTGTGGTATGGCCCAATAATGTGTGGTATGGCCCACACTTCACATGGCCATCAACGGCCCAATAATGTGCTGTATGGCCCAATAATGTGCGGTATGGCCCAATAATGTGTGTTATGGCCCAATAATGTGCTGTATGGCCCAATAATGTGCTGTATGGCCCAATAATGTGCGGTATGGCCCAATAATGTGCGGTATGGCCCAATAATGTGTGGTATGGCCAATAATGTGTGGTATGGCCCAATAATGTGTGGTATGGCCCAATAATGTGTGGTATGGCCCAATAATGTGTGGTATGGTCCACTCTTCACATGGCCATCAACGGCCCAATAATGTGCAGTATGGCCCAATAATGTGTGATATGGCCCAATAATGTGTGATATGGCCCAATAATGTGTGGTATGGCCCAATAATGTGTGGTATGGTCCACTCTTCACATGGCCATCAACGGCCCAATAATGTGCGGTATGGCCCAATAATGTGTGATATGGCCCAATAATGTGTGGTGTGGCCCAATAATGTGTGGTGTGGCCCAATAATGTGTGATATGGCCCAATAATGTGTGGTATGGTCCACTCTTCACATGGCCATCAACGGCCCAATAATGTGCGGTATGGCCCAATAATGTGTGGTATGGCCCAATAATGTGTGGTATGGTCCACTCTTGACATGGCCATCAACGGCCCAATAATGTGTGGTATGGCCCAATAATGTGTTGTATGGCCCAAACGAGACTCACTTTAAGGCTAATTATATTTAATTAGACAACATGACCCAAATTTTATGATTGCCCTCAGAGGTCAAGAATAGCAAACCAATCAAGGAGGTAATTAAACTAAACAAAAATACAAACTAATTAAAGCTAATTACAACATTTAACATACTGTGTATAATGGAGTTTTACATAAACCCCCACTAAAAAAAATTCAAAACGTTAGAATACGCCCACTGCAAAAAAAAAAAAATCTTCATAGCTCATTATAATTTTTTTATCTTGAACATAGGCATTGTTATTGATAGAAAGTATGGCAGCCCTCAGTAATCATGTAACATAATTTACAATGGCAGGGAAAAAAATGTTTGCTATTCTGTTCTTCTAATTGTTGCAAAAATGTCTTCTTTTGCGAAAATGTTCAAAGAACACATTGTACACTTGGAATACATAACTACATGTTTAGTATTTTTCTATCTGGGGTGAAAAAGAAACCAATTTTCTGTAATCTAATGAATATTCGTGTAAATTAGTCTTGTAAAGCAATATTTTGACGTCATTACAATAATGTTAATTTGTTGGGACATGACAAATTGGTTTTGAAAGTGCAAAAATCAAACATGTATATCAATGTGGGGTTAAAAAATAGTCAAACGTGAAGTGGAAAATAATTCTTACATAAAAAATTAAGGAAAATGGCTTTTATTATATATTCACAAATCACAAATAAATAAAAAATGAAAAAAAAAAACTAAAAGTAAAAATTTTTTTTTAGTTTAACCTTACTAAGGCCGTATGTTGGTATGGCGAAAAATATATTCCTTTCATTGGGAGTCCTGTAACATCAGTTATATGTTCAGTTTTCTTCATTGAGCGGCCAGTCTTTTATTTTTAGTCAAACAAATGTTCTCAGTAATGTTACACCAACAAAAACATTTTAGTGTAATTTCTCTTTGTGACTTTTTGTAATTTGTATATAGATCTATATATAATAAAAGACTTTTCCTTTAAAATTGTTTTGTATTTGTGAATTATTACTCCAGAATTAAAACGTTGACGTCACCATAGTACTTTTTCTAATCCCCCATTCTATTGGCTAAAGGTTTATACACTCAGCACGTTGCAGAGATCTCATCGATTGGAGCGTCACGCTGTCAGGTATGGTGTGTGATGTGATCAGGTATGATGTGTGACGTGATCAGGTATGATGTGTGACGTGATCAGGTATGATGTGTGACGTGATCAGGTATGTGGTGTGACGTAATCAGGTATGATGTGTGACGTGATCAGGTATGATGTGTGACGTGATCAGGTATGTGGTGTGACGTAATCAGGTATGATGTGTGACGTGATCAGGTATGATGTGTGACGTGATCAGGTATGATGTGTGACGTGATCAGGTATGATGTGTGACGTGATCTGGTGTCTCGCCTGACAGGATTCAATCTCAATGACTAAACTATAATCTCAATGACTAAACTACAATCTCAATGACTAACTATAATCTCAATGACTAAACTACAATCTCAATGACTAACTATAATCTCAATGACTAAACTACAATCTCAATGACTAACTATAATCTCAATGACTAACTATAATCTCAATGACTAAACAACAATCTCAATGACTAACTATAATCTCA